ACTATCAATAATCTAGCATAAGATTGAGTAACAAATGATTAGGATAATGGCAGATGATGGTGTAATACCTATGTTATTTGCAACGTGTTGCGGATTACCATCATTATTTCGCCGAAGGATGGACATCAATTAATTGGGCTCCTTGATTGTGAATCTTCGTCGATCATCAGAAACAGATCTTACACCTGTGTTTACCGCTTTTCCAATTCATTTTTTACAGAATTGGCACTCAAACACAGCTAGCTAGGGGCTTGACTTTTTGCCATGAAGTTTATGATCCACTGGAAATTCATGAGAAAAATAACATTTCTCAATGCTGTGATAGTCTTGATCATAGTATGAACAATGTAATGTGTTCCTTGATTTTTTGCTTTTGACCTCGATTTGCTTGTATTATCTTGGTGTGCTGATCTACAAACATAGCATAATGATTAATATTGCCACGATTGAGAAAGACTTCTACCTATTTTTCTTGTTGAAGGATGAGAAAATAAACTCGACGAGTGTTGGGTAAGAATTGCATTAAGAAGGTCTATCGACGACTGACAAAATAGCTATCATTCAACCCAATGAAGAATTGCATGACTTTCTCCTTCTATTCCCTTTTGTTAAGTTTTTCCATGCCTCCATATGACCAGCATAGAGAGTCATGATAGTATGAGAGCTCATCCCGGAAAGCCTTAAGTTCGGTATAATGTACAGAATCAGATTGATCCTCTGTTTATGTTTTGTAATTTTTCACTTGATTTGTAAATCGTTGAGTCATTCCCTTGAATTGGACCAATTTTTTAAAGTTGAGGATAGTTGTGCTTAAAAATAAAAGCATGAATTTTTCTGCTACTTTCTTAAGAAGTTCGGAACGAAATGCACTAATTTCTCAATATAAAAATTAGTAGATTAAAATGAGATTTTAAGGGAAAATGTATTTTGAAATAGTGATTTTTTGGAGAGTGTATAGTTAAAAAATAAGAAAAAAGTTTAAATTTTATGGGAGATTGCATGATTAATAATATGTTTTGTAAAAGTAAATATTACATACCAGCCTGTTTTTAAAGATGGCAATTCAAAAATAAGATATAAGGTTTATTTAATAAAAAATTAGGAATTATAAAATTTACCCACGACACCCCAACCAACCAATTTCATCCGAAACTCTAAATCAAGATTCTCCGATATTTTCTTTCTTCCTCTTTATCAATCGCATCATCGGCATGATGCCGTTCAAAGAGACTCGCTCTCACTGACACTGTGCAGCGACGACTTCAGGGATGACGCTACTGCACAATGGCATCGTAATAACACTGTTGTACAGTGATGAGGGGCTTCAGTGATGATGTCACTATTCAATGATGCACAACAGAATATGATATGTGGACGGGGTGGGTCAGGTGATCTGTGGTTTGTGTGTATTGCTACCGAGAAAGATGGCTGCCATGGTTTTGAGATCATTTTTGGAATGGTTTTTAGGAGTGTTTTCTTTCATTTTTGATCTGGAGTTCCGAGATGGTTGGTGGTGGTGGTGTAGGTGGTGATAATGTAGCAATGGTAGTGATGATGATGCTTAGATGGGGGTGGTGGTGGTGATCTTGGTCATGGTATTGTGGTGCTGGCGTTGATGGTGACTTTGGTAGTGGTAATGGCAATGGTGATAGCATGGTTTGTTGATAGTTTTTTATGGGTGGTTTTCTGATTTGATGCGTTGTGATGGTGTTGGCGATGATAGTGGTGATGTGGATGGCTGTCACGATGCTGGATTTGGATTGGGTTGGGTTGGTTTGTATAAACATGATTTATGACAAATAAATTGGGTTAATCTATGACCAGTAAATAATTTGCAACCAATAAAATAGATAATTCATAATATTGATTCAATGATCTGTGACATTTGAATTGATAACATGTCACGTCTTTGTGCACTTGTTACAGGTCACAAATTAATGTTCATAGGTCATAGACCAAATAGAATTGGTCACAGATCACTGATTTAAATTAATAGGTTAATATTAATTGGTCACGATTTATAGTTTACATGTCACATGTCATATTAAATGGGCCATAGATCATTAACCTATGTTTTTATGTTGATATTAATTGGTCACGGCTATAGTTCACAAGTCACAAGTTATATTGCATAGGTTAAAAATGTTCACGTGTCAATATTACTAGTCACATGTTACAGTTCATAGGTCATAAGTCATCATTCATAGGTAACAAACCAATGAATGGGTCACATATACTAAAAAAATGGTCACATGACATTGAAACAATATCATAGGCAATAGATCGATATAAATTCAAGAGAATTGGTCACATGCTATTGATTTCTCTTATCTGGTCACAAATTCAATTAATCAGATTTCGATGATGAGATTTGTAAATTACACTAGAGGCTATTTTTCAATTTTTGATTTTTAAAAAATCGTTTTAAATTATACCAATACTGCTGAGTCGCAGATGAAAACAACGATTAGTTCGTAGCTGAAGAAGTCGTCGATGGGGTGGATGCCGACAATTGTAAGAGGGGATAGCGACAAACGAGTGCGCAAGGGAGGGGAAGGTGGGTTGGTGAGGTGGATGTGGATAGATTAATTTAATTTGATCATATTATTATTTAAAATGAAAATAGAATTAATGTCTGACTTTTGCATTTTGAAACTTAATTTTTAGAAATTGATTTGGTGCATACTTAATACATACATGACTTATGATTTTTTTTCTTTTTAAAAAATGTATTATCGAAAAAATGGGCACAAACAGGGCCTACATAATAGACACATTAAACTGAAGCAAAGCAAGCAATTTCCAAGAATGATTTAACCAAAGCAAGCAATTTCCAAGAATGATTTAACCAATTCATGAAATACATTAAAAATCAATTCATGAAGCATATAAAATTATAGTTGGAATAAGAGACCAAAAATAGAAAAAAAAGTAGACAAATAGTCAAATAGAGACCCAAAAAAGTATCATTCATGGAAAAAAATATATACTATTTATGCAACTTTATGGGATGAGAAGAGAAAATTGCAAACCCATAATCATTAATTTAGTAATTTTTATTTAAGTCTACTAAGCAGCTTTGTTATACATTATAAAATTTCAATAGAATTTTGTACATTAAATTAGACCATTAAAAAGTTATTTGTTAGATATATTGATGTGTAGGATCTATTAATATATTTGTCTTTGATATTTTTTATTTATTCTCTTTGAAACTTTAATCGATGAGTTCTACGAAAATTTTTATTTGAATGTTTACATTTACATTTCATGAATTCTAGGATATTTATGCTCTTCAAATTTGTTAGATCACATCCTACAACGTAGTTGTTTTTTGACTACTAAAAAGAGAAGTTGACAAATTAGTGAAATGTGAAGACTTGAGTATTTCTTCAAATTTGTAGACTTATTATCCAAATACTTTTGTGGACGTAAATTCTTATTATGAAGATTGTTAGATCACTTTCATCCCTTTCATTAGACTTGTCGTAAGAGTCCTATTATAATATGAATGTTTTCTGACCGTAGCGGCATATTTGTTAAAAAAAATATTGATAGACGTGTTATTCAAGTACTTTCATGGAGTCGCATACCATCCAAGGATCACTCCGATCAAAGCAACTAAAATTAAAGGCTTAAAAAGTTCAAAATTAAAAGTCGATGACAAGTTTAGAAGAGATGCTAAAAGTTAGAGACTCTGTCTGTTTTAATTTTAATCTTTGGACCCCATACGTTACACGTATTTAGCAAAGATGGGATATTGAATGCGTTGCACTTGCTCGTACACGGACAGCCATTCCTTTTTTTCTCTCTGTACTCTTCTTCATCCGTTCCCTCCACTCAACTCCTCCACCGCTACCTTGTAGAACCATCACTTGCAGAACCAACTACGCAGTACCCAAAGACCTTCTGAAGATCATATGGTACTGTTTTTCCGCACCCGCATGGTGTGAAGCAGAAGCAGATTGAGAGAAGTCATTTATCTGAACAGTACAAAGATTACTTATGTTTAGAAGAAACAATGTTACGGCCCGGATTTTTGAGCGTCAGATGTCCAACCCTGCTCCTGGCACCAGTGTATTTCTTCTTGTTTTCTATCATATTTGATTACTTTTTGCTATTTGTGGATCTGTAAGTAAATATAACCTGCTCCTGGAACCAGTGTATTTCTTCTTCTTCTCTCTCAAATTTGATTTCTTTTTGCTATTCGTGGATTTTTATGTAAATATAAGGTGTGGGCTTGATCAAGATCCCCTTATTCGATGAGTACTGATTCTGTCTCTGGGAGCACGGAGTTGGATTTTGAAATTAGAATTATATATATATTTTTTGTCTTAGTTTAGAAATCAATACTTCTCCATTTCATACTGCCAAACATAGAGGGAATGAGCAAAAGAAGAATTGATTTTTTTTCGAGTTGTTAGAATTCTAATTACTAGCTTTGCTTGAGCTGAGATATATAAGCAAAATAGCATCCAACTAGTGTATAGGAAATATGGGTTTGCATTTTGTTAAAAAGGAATGTAAAAGCACTTTTCGAAATTTCTGACAGGAGCCAATATACAAAGCAAATTTATTTTAATAAATGAATAAGTATTAATTTGTTTTTACCACACAAGGTAGAGTGGAGGTTGAGGTCATTCACTTCACCGTATATGGATAAGCAAACTTGAGCCCACAGTTTAGTTTGAGATACTGTGCTCAAGATTAGGTGAGACTGTGAGACTATAATGTTGGCCATATTTGTGATCAATCATATTCTGTTTTTATGAATTCAGAATAAATCCTGACAGCTTAGTCTGGGTTGGGCGAGTTCATGCTCTTCATCGAGCTTCACTTTCTTTTTCCTGACTCATTGATAGATGTACTCAAGATTGAGGATTTTTCGGGGATTCAGTTAAGTTTTGTTATATCATTCGTTGATTATGACAGGTTCATCGTGCCCGGCGATTTTATGAGAACATAGTCCCAAGTCATACCATATATGACATTGAATGTCCAGATCTTTTATTTCGTAAGTTCACGGATGATGGACAGTATCTTGTAACTTTCAGCAGGAATCATCAGGATCTCATTGTTTATAGACCAACATGGTTGTCATTTTCGTGCAAAGTAAAAGATTGTTATGCTGATGGCCTTCCAAATAAAGCCAACAAATTTGAGAGTTTCTTCACTCAATTATACAGTGTTACTCTTGCTTCCACTGGTGAATTTATATGCAAAGATTTCTTCCTTTATATAGAAGGCAAACAGTTTGGAATTTTTGCAACTTCAACTGCACAAATACATGATGCACCTGCTGTTGGAGGTGCAATTCAAGGAGTCCCATCAATTGAAAAGATAACTTTTCACCTCTTGAGGTGTGTATTATCTCTTTTCAATTTAGAGTTTAACAACACTGATACTGACTAAGTTTGTCATTGGTATTATTTGATCTGAATTACTTAGACTGGAAGATGGAGTTATACTTGATGAGAGGGTTTTTTGCAATGATTATGTTCATTTGGCACATAGCATGGGTGGTGTCTTCTTGTACGACGATTTATTGGCCATAGTCTCTCTTCGTTATCAAAGAATACACATTCTCCAGATTAGGGACTCTGGCAACCTTGTTGATGTGCGGGCAATTGGGAAATATTGCCATGAAGATGATGAACTTTTCCTCAACTCTAGTGTGCAGGCAAGTTGTACTGCCTCAAGCACTCGATGGAACTATTCTTTATTTCTATGGGTGTTCTGTTATTCCTACTCAACTTCATGCAGAACACTTCATAGATAAAGGGAAAAACTAGCTTTTTTTTTTTTTTTTTTTGCTTAATCAGTTTAAATAATGACATTTACCATTTTTGCTCGATCTGATATTATTGCCTGAGAGATCTTAGAACAACCAAAAAAAATCGATTGGCCACAGTGATTCAAGTTGGGTTGGCTCAAAAATATATCATCCTTGAAGGAATATTTATTTTCTGACAAGATTCTGTTTAATTTGTTATATGCTGTTTATTTTGTCATAATCTTAAAACTCAAATAGCAGATTTATGATTTTAAAGTGAACAATCAGATTGGTTGGCTGTATGAATATTTTTCAAATTATCCGATTCAAATGACATATAGTTGGCAATTCTTCTGATTTGCTGCAACACTCACTTCCTATGAATAACATATCACCACTTAATTAATACTGCTGCTTGAAAGAGTGGGATGTAGGTCCTGTGGGTGAAGGTTTAAAACGCACCTCAAGGAGGAAATTAACTTTGATCTCTACTTGGAAACCTTTTATCCCTTTCTTAAATAGATGTTTAGTTAGTTCCATCACTGTTCTCTCTTGCTAGGAATTTGTTCAAAATGTCAGTCCGACCCAATTTTGATTGATTGCAATGCAAGGCCCCTGATAAAAGTAAATTGCTCCAGGTGTCTTCAAATCATATTGAGAATGGTTCACAACATATCGAACATATTCCTGAAACTCCTTTTTTGAGCGGTTTAAAGCAGCGATTGCTTTCATTTATATTTCGAGGAATATGGAATGAAGAAGATGATCCAAACCTGGTGAGTTGTATCACTATAATGATAATACTGAAAAAAAAATTCTCTTTGATATTTCCTTATTTACTCATTGACAATATAAATAGTGTGCACTGTTCCTCTATGATAACTTTCCATCTGAATATGCACGGATTATCTTAGATAACTATATTTATGTAACGCGAGGTGATTGAATGCTTATAATACGTCTTTTGAGGTGTTCGGAATTTTTTAATCTGCCAAGTTCTGTAGAATACTTTTTTCGTTAAGTGCTCCATTATGGATGGATCTGCTATAAATGTACAGTGCAGTCTCTCTCTCTCTCTCTCTCTCTCTCTCTCTTATTATTTTCCTACATCATACATATGTTTAAATTATTTTTCTGCCTATTATGTGATGTTATTACTGTCACAGTTATGCATGAGGGTTCAATATCAACTATAATTGCACCTCTCAGTAAAATTGACTCACGGAGTAAGATTTGGAATTGTAGTTAAAGAGCTAAGGCAAGCATACTTGATGGAATTAATTTTTCCACTGCATAGATGAATGGGTTATCATGCAGATTATTTTTCAAAAAATGATCTAGTTAGTATATTAAAAGATGAATAGCAGTCCAAAATATTTAGGAAGTAGAGCCTTCTGACAACCAGGGTTGGAAAATGATCTATTTTTCCCTAACCTATTAATTCCTTATAGGCTGACAGATGCTTTAAAGGTGACTTGCTTCTTACGCCATGTAGAATTCTCTTAATGAGGCAGGGGACAGGAAATTTTGTTCAATGAAAATGGTTTTGTTAGAAGACAAAATTTGGGAAGATCTAGTAGACAGGTTGTATACAGAGATTAAGAGGATAGTAAGCTATTAAAAAGACCTATCCATTCAGTCAAGTTTGGATATGTGATGCACAAACTACTACTAGGACAATGTGACCATGTCCGCCACGTACTGAGTCATGTCTTGTCTTGTCAAACACTGACACTTCTCAGACACTTATAGGACAAAACACCTACTATATCATTTTTTATTTCTCTGAAACTAGTAATATATAGTTTAACTCAAAGTTATTTTACAATTTCAAATAATTTAAGCCAGCATGTACCTGATGTGTTGGTCTTCGACTCTTTAAAAATTACATGTTGGCATGTTCGTGTCTGTTTCGCATGTCTGCAGCCATATCCATAACTGTTTTTCTAATGTTTGGATACTCAGAGAAAAACAAAAACAAAAAGGTTCTGATTCTCCAACAGGATTTCCACCTCCATCAAAGCACTTGTGTTTTTTTAGCTTCACAAAGCGAACAGCAAGTGCAGTGGTTATATTCCATAACTTTCTGACTAGCATCCTTCGCCCATGGCCATTACACACAAAATAAATGACCAGGAATCAATAGCCATGTCAAAATGCAGCATAACATGATTGCCTGTTTTCTGAAAATTATAATATCCCATAATGATTTCTTTGCATAATGTTACTTTTCTGTTGTACCAGAGGATGCAATGCTTGAAGAAGAAGTTCTATTTCCATTTCCAAGATTATGTTGATTTGATCATCTGGAAGGTAGAGGTCTAACTTATTGAATTCTTACAAAATATGATGCCTCTATAAAAATCAGAATTTATGGTTACATTTGTTCATTTTAATCTCTTTTACATTTTTGTACTTCCCTAAACCAACATAATTCTTTTGACAATTGGTTCATAATTATGCATAGGTGCAATTCTTGGACCGACATCACCTGTTGATCAAGTTTGGCAGTGTTGATGGTGGGGTAGGTTTCTTTCTTGCTCAATAATTCTTGGACCAACTTCTCTTATTTATCTCTATGTATGTTATTTGCATTTGAGTGTGGGTACCTTACTTTATTATTAGTTCATTAATCTTAAATAGCTCTAGGAGATGTGGAGAGTCCATGAAGACCTAGCATTATTATTTTTTAGGTTTTGGCTACAACTCAAATTGATCATGCTCATCCATTTGAGGCAATAGTTATGTTAAAAAATCGTTTAATGGAAGGCATAACACAATTTGGACTGTTTCGAAGATACAATATCAACTACATTAGAAGGATCTATGTTTCAATGGTGAGGGATACTATACAGAGCAAGGATGAGAAAAGCATATGATGTGGATTGAATTATAATTGAAGTTGGTAAGTGTCTATGTGAGGTGTGTGGTTGAAATTAATGTTTTGAATTTGATTGGATAGAAAAAGGAACATTCTAAGGAAAGACAAACAGATTCTCTTTATAAAAAAGTAGTATAGACAAGGATTAAGATGGGTGTGACCATATTAAAAACTATTAGTAAGCAATGGTTATTTGCGAATATATATATTTTTGCAAATGTAGGCGACGACTGTTCAGAATAAATTAGGAGGGGATGACTTGGAATGGTGGGGTACATTCACTAGAGACTTGAAACTTCACTCACAAAAGTGATGTGACCTAAGGGAAAAAACTAAAACGTGGCTTGACATGGTTGCAAAAGATTTAATCCGATTCATTACACTTTTTTAGAAGATTTAGTACCGGATTGAAAGGAGTGCTTAAAATAATTTATGTAAGAAACCTCAAGTTTATTGGGAATAAGACTTAGCTGAGCTTCATGTAGTAATTAGTTTATTACTCACACATTGCACATTGTAATTGCATATTTACTTGCTCATTGAAAGTGTATAAAATGAAAGTAAAAAATTTTCAGCAAAGTCACTTCAATCAAGATTAATTTTTTTTTTTTTCCTTTTTTGCTCCATGCGTCTATTTACTCTTATCTAGATTATCATTTCTTCCTTGTACTCCTTGAATAGAACCCAAACCATTGAATGAGTAAATGATTGTGATGAGGACATCTGTCCATATCCATTTTCTATTTGGACTCTTATTTATGTAATTGGGCTTGTATAATGGGTTTGGCTAAAACCCTTTCTCTTTAGGTTTGTTGTTTTGCTATTTATATCTGGTTTGTTTTGTAATTGAGGCAGACAATGAGTTGATGAATATGAATTATTGAAATTGGTTTTGGGCCTTTTGGCTTGCAGCCAATGTTATCTCCTTCTCCTGCCTTCCTCTTTGATCTTTTCTTCTCCTTTCTCCCCCCTTTCTTGCTGTCTTCTTCTCTTCTTCCCTGCTTCTTCTTCTTGCTGTGGTTATTTTCTACTCTGCTGCACATCACCTTCTCTACTGCTGCTTATAAGTTCTCTGCTGGAATACCAACTATATCCTACATCAATTTGTCTTTGCAACTTATTATGAGTTGCTATTTGTGTTACATTGTCCTTAATTGTTTAAGAAATACTCGTATATTCATTTTCCTTTTTCCCTTTATGCTTCTTAGGTATACCTTTGACACTTATTTCCTCTATTTCTAATGTTCATTAAAGCTTTGCTAAAAATGTCTCATGTGAGGCCAAGCTAGTAGATTGAGGATTTTGTTACTGTGAATATGACTGAATTTGTGGATTAGGTACCAACATTTTTTTTCTGTCCGTTCTAACACAAGCCTTCTGATGATTGATACATCTAATTTCTTTGACTATGTATCTTGAATCAGCTTCCCTAAGTTATATTAATTTATTTCGTCTGACTGGAATTTTTTTTTTTTTTTTTTTTTTTTTTTTTGGGACATCATGTAGAATGTGGACAATATGTTTTACTCTTGATGATTCTGGGGATTTCAGTGATTTACTGTTAACCAACAAAATTAGAAATGTTATATAGTTCTGTGACTTGGCCTGATCATTAAATGGTCCAACTAAACCGTGTTAATGGTTTTGACAAGAAGGATCAGCTATGCTATTTTATTTTGTCTATACCCAAAATTTTGCGTTCTTTATTGAAACTTTGTACAATAAGTGAAACTAATTGAGCTATATTTGTTTTACCCTTTTTTTGCTGAGCTACAGATGGCACGAAATGCAGATAATCATCCGGCTTTTTTCGCTGTATATAACATGGAGACTGCAGAAATTATTTCATTTTATCAGGTGTCTGTAATTCTTAGTTTAATTCAATTTTTTTTTGCATTTATAGTACTGCCTAGGATTTCTTTGATGGTTTTGGTTCCTTCCAATCACCTTTCGATCCACTGATGTTAAAGCACTTGAAGTTGAATATCATGTGTGTCGACATTAAAATTGTGGATGATTGTACTGGAAGTAATTGATTTGGAGATGATTGATTACTCAATTAAACATATGAATGATTCCTTTTTGATCTTTTGTAGAACACAGCGGAGGAGCTTTATTCATTGTTTGAACTGTTCTGCGACCACTTTCATTCATCATCAAAGAATTCATCACTTTACATGAATTTCATATCGAGTCATTCGAATAACATCCATGCCCTGGAGCAGCTAAGGAGCAATAAAAATAAGGCTACCAGCTTTCCTCAGGTATTATTTATAATTGATCGAGCACGCTGAATTCAAATTTGTTGTTATTATGCTTTCTATCTTATTATCTTACAAATTTTAATTGACATAAGAATTTCAATATGATTACACAATCATGTCATTTGTTTTTCAATCTTGCAGTTTGTGAAGAAGATGTTAGTCAATTTGCCTTTTAACTGTCAGTCTCAGAGTCCTTCCCCCTACTTTGACCAATCCCTCTTCCGATATGATGAAAAGGTTTGACTCCATAATCCACACATTCTGTTGTTTGCTAAGTGCTTGTTTTGGAGTGTCTAAAATATAATTTGTCCTGTGGGTTCCACAGAACGTGTGGGTAAAAAGTGGGTAGTAATTTGTGGCTCCATAGAATATGGGGGTAAAAAGTGTGTTTGACCAGTTTAAATCATAATTTAAACTTTGCCAAACGTGCACTTTCTAGCTAATTGTTCTACTTCTTTCATGCATTCCAAGATAATCAGTTTTGCATTTTTAGTGCAATATCTGGTTACTTTGCATAGCTGTAAGCTGAATAAACCCGAACTCAATTTGCATTGATAATATTTGCATCTTATGACGTTTCCCCGTTTCTGGGACACTAGAGATGTAAGCTTGGGAAGGAAGGGGAACATACTTTTACCTCCCGCTCCAATTTTTGGCACGCATCTATGTGCCAATGTATGAACGAGTCTTGATCATGTGTAACTTTCTCTGCCATTGTTTTGTTTTCTCATACTTCTATATTATCAACAGCTGATTTCTGCAACTGACCGACATAGACAGTCCGCTGAGCATCCCATAAAATTCAGTTCAAGGAGGCAACATAATATTCTCAAATTTAAGATTAAACCAGGTACCCTTTATACAAGTGAAATTT